CTCTTCCAAGAAGCGGCGCAAATTGAAGGTCTCATCAGCAGCGTCACGAGCATATGCGTGTCATCGCGATCGGATGCTGCAGCTAGGAGCTAGACAAGTTGCTAGATTTCCCCAGATTGGCTATTCCTGCCTCAAACTGTTTCAGGGCGATTTGATCGCGGGCGGTGAGCTCTGCTGTAGATTCTGCTCCCCGCTGTAGCTCCACAACGAGAGACGCCCACAGGATGACCAGGGTATCGGCTTGTAGCTACGGGCTAGGCCTTCAATTCAAGTCACGCAGCAAGCTCCACCTCTCAGCGGTAGTCCAGCTACAGCGCATCGCGCAATCTCGCTCTCAATCAGAGACTTCGCTCTCAATCACACGAAAACCTTGTTGTATGTAAACTGATGGAGACTGTATGTCCTACAACTAACAGGGTGCCACACACAAAACGCCCGACTAACCAACAGTACCCAACACCTCTCGTCTGCACCTTCCCATCATAACATATATGAGACACACAAGACAGCTACCAAACTGATTTGTTGAGCCTGTTACCCGCAGGGGAGATGTCCCTATATGCTGTCTGGGAAATCGTAGACATATAGGTAGTTTTCTCTGACGCTATGATTCCATTGTTAATCTGTTTCTATGATACAGATGGACTCGTTGTGTCATATTAAGAAAAAAAAAAAAATCGCCGTCAGAGTTTGCCTCCAAAAAAGCGGCGTAACCTCATTCACGTCGTTTCAGCAACACGTGGATTCCCTCTAAAATACGGCTGTACTGCCTAGACAATTGAGCGCTCAGTGTGCCTATCTACTAGAATGTCAGGAAAAATAAATACACACACAGTAAGACCACCCGTTCGAGATATACCCACAGTCGAACGGGAGCTACAATGTGTTACTGAGACTAACGTCTCGTCACCAATTCTGCCAAGCAAGCCAAACTGGTCATGTCCGCGGTGGGACTCACAAGTGTGTTTCGTTCTCGGCTCCTTCGGAGAGTCGCTGCTCGAGACCTGAGTTTCCACGCACGCCAGTACTCCGTGCTGTAAATCGGACCGTCCACGAGCGGTGGACAAAAATTACTTCCTTTGCCTCCTCTTCCTGTTTGTGGTTTGGAAGTTTCTTCTGGCGGTGGTGGGACTCGGCCGTGCTCTCGTTTGTACTGTTGTAGCTGCAACGTTCGCCGGATCTTGGCAGCATGTTCCCGCGCTGCTGCAACTACGCCATCCTGCTGGGAACCAGGTTCAGCCATGCCGGGAAGCACGGCGGTCGCGCAACACAAGGAAGCCGCTCGCACTGTCGCAATCAGTCGCCCGCCTCCGAACCGCTCACGAGACTGTGAGCGGTTCAGGGCTGGCCCAACTAATGAACTCATGAGCTCATGAGGTCGCACGGTCAGGCGGGAGGCGGTTTCTCGGTTTCACGTGGCTATGGGAACCAAAACGCAGCTACAAACCATATGTGAAACCCTTTCGGAACTATTTTCACACAACAGACTACACTGCAGACCGCAGACAACAGGCGCGCGGGATCCAGATCAGTCACACCACATTGGTGCTTTCTTTCCACCTCCACCGGCCACCAGGACCATCGTGATCCCCCACCTATCTGAGGTATGAAGGCAGAGGTTGTTGCAGTTCACATTTTTAAGTTCTCGGAGAGGGAATGTTTGCTCAAGTCTAACACAACAATGAGCTGAGAAGTATAGTGCTCTTGTCGAGGTGACACAGACTACCACTTGCCGCAATGTAGTCTCCTGCTGTATGTCATGCCTCTGTGGATTTCAGTCAGGATCAAAATAATCTCCCAGCAGCTGTGACTTTCGATTTGGGTGTGTAGTCACCAATTTGTCTCGTTCTCGCGGGTTGATGAGAGACCATGCCGTCGACGGACGTGCTTGTAGGCAGCGTGCCGTGTTATTTGGACGGGCACGCGGTAACCTTTACCTTTCTTCGCGTGCCACTAGGATGTTCATAGGCAGCGTGTTTCGTGTTGTTTGGGTGGGCACAAGCCTTTCTTCCTCACTGCTGTGACGCTGTGAGCTGTTATTTATTGCACGGTTTGTGTGGTGTTTTGGCTGATCCTCCTACGTTCCTGTCTGCGCTGGTCGACACCTGTGAACGGGCCGAAGAACGCACATCATTGGCAACCCAAGGCACACGTGAGGGCCTGCTTCGCTGGACTTGGCGCGCTCAAGACAGAAAACTGTATCTAATTTGAAGAAAGGTCATTCCAAAGGGCTTCTGTCGCTCCTGACTCTTCGTCACAGATACGACACTGCTGTACAGAAGACGGTCGGTACATTGCGTAAAAACCCGTGCGTGAGTCAGAGAGGTCCTGTTGCTGTTCTTGTATTCCTGCTGCTGCTGGTAGGTGGCGTTAGTGGCCGTAGGCTGGTCGCCGACATGATTGAGCCAGCCCTACGCTGGCCACTGGCCTTGGTAGCGGCAGCGATTGTTGTGCTCGGGTCGTGGAGGTACTCTGGCGGCAAGCCCATGTCGCTCCCCGGCGACATCCGGTACGAGAGCGAGGAAATTAGCGTGTACTTTCCCTGGGTGTCATGTATCCTGTTGTCGGTGTTCGGCAACATTTTGTTGCGCGCGTGGCAGGGAGGGGGTGGTGTAGGGCGTGTGCTGAACGGTGGAGCAACGGGCCACCGTCCATAGAGGCTCAACCCGTCGAGCTCGCATCCTAGAATGTTGTAGCGACCTCTGATGAGCGTAGGTCGTGCCATGTAGGTTTCGTCTCAGCAAACGGCTGGATCTCAACGGTTAGATCCATTCGTCATCATGTGAAAGCGTTGCTCGTTGTACCCTTGGTTGAGGATTTTACAAGGTTCAGTATACCATTGATGAAGTCGGCGTCCACCCTTCCGGCGGCACACATCCGCGGGCCTGATGAGCAGACAAACGCCGACGTCTTTTCGATACTTGGCTCAGCCGAGGAAGCCGAGCGCTTACGGCCTTGGAGGGCATCACACAAAACACAGTCAGCCGTACTTTCGTCGCGATCCGCGTTGAGAGGAGCAAACGTTGGCTCGGCGGGGCGTGCTGCTGCCGCTGCTTGAAATCTCTCCATGCTTGGTCGGGGGTCTTCCCCATTGGCAATGTAGACGGACCAATGGGTGAACTCTGACTACTTGCCACTTTGCTCGGGCTTCCAGAACGTTGGCCGAAGTAATCCACCACCTACAGAAAGCCGGCCACCAGACAGAGTGGACACACCATAATACAACAAAGCCGGCGTTTGGGACCACTCCTGTTCCGATTCCAGCATTCTTACCCCACTTGGACAAGTCGAAACGCTTCAGTCACATCGTAGGTGCCAAGCTAGGCAACTTCGTGATCGAAAAGAGCACCAAGGAAGCTACAGACACTTTGTCAAGTTAACGACCGATGGAACCGTGCACACCATTTAGGAGAGTGTGGCGAGAGGAGCGTGCGAACGGTACTTACCCGAGCCAAGCTGCCGCAGGACACTCGCATTGACGGGGGCACACCGACAAGCGCGGCCTCACAGCGTCCCACTTTAGAGCTCACGCCAGGTGTGCCTACATTTCGCACGGCTAACGTGGTATGCAGGTTGCGGCAAGTGTCACCATCACAACAGGACGATAATTGCCCCCCGACAAGGCACACACAAAGAAACACGAACGCCAGAGACGGGGACCAAATCCGTTGTTGTTGTTGTTGTCTTCACATTAAAAACCGTTCCGGTCTCCACTCAGTGCCGTCTTACGTCCGTACTGGTCCAACTGACGCGAACGCCTTCCGTGGTTACAAGCCAGCTGCATCCCTGGGAGTGAAAAAACAACAAAACGTTGGCGTTGTCGGGGAGAGGGGGGACAGATTCCCACAGCCAAAACGCCGACTCTTATGTGGCTTTTCTTCCACTGTTTGCCGCGTATTCCACCGGCGCATAGAAAAATCTGCACTGCTGCGGTCGACATCTCTAACCATATACCTGCGTTGTTCCTCGGAGACGGTTTAGGGATGAGAAGGCCTCCCAAGTACAACAAGTTTGGAGAAAAGCATAGGCGGAACTGGGTACGCGCTACGGAATCTCCCCGGAGAGGGAGTGGTAAAATAATAGCATCCCGTGCCGTCAACAATACCTTGATGAAACCAACCCTCTGAAGCAGTTCACTCCCCCCCTCTACGCACTCACACCCTGACCCTCCTACTCCTCCTCCAAGCGTCTGCCGATCCACACAGACATGTCCTCATACGTTGAAGGACAAACCGAACCCACGCTTCAGGTAGATTTCAGCTCCTGCAACTCTTGCACACATTGCGCCTCAAGCCAAGCCGCAAGCCGCGGACACGCCGCAATACTCCCTGGAAAACCCCACACCTAGCGAAGTCTTCCAGTTTTTGTCCGCCCCACCCCAAACATCACTATAGGTACATCATGGGGTCGGGGATTTCTCAAAGTGGGGGGGGAAATACAAGGACTGGCGGCGCTGCCTTGATGCGCGGGTACTACCCCCCCCCNCCCCCCCCCCCCCCCCCCCCACGGGTGTCCATTCTTTGAAAACGACCACCTGATTTGACGGCAACCTTGGAAGCTTGAAGTCAAGGCAAACCGTGTTCTCTCTCAATCTAGTTGTGCTATACAAGGGAAGCGCGCAATGCCAGGCTCTTCGTAAGAGTCAGGTCCATCACTATTCCGGCGACCACACTACGCTACCAAAAACCGAGGGAACTCAAAATACTATGAGAAACACTAGAGCCCCAAAGGGTATGCGGGTCAACCAAATATCCCGGAGGCAAGTCAGAAATCAACCGTATGCAACAGCAAGTGAGATGCCCAGTCAGGCAGGGTCACACCTCCGCTTTCTCGCGCTCCGCCAGCCACCCTTGGAAATCTAGAGGTTTCCGGCCTATGGGAGGCGGTAAGTTTTCCGGGGCAACGGTGCCTGTGAGCGCCTCAAGGACATCCTCATCCTCCCCGTATATGAATCGAAATCGCGCCCTTACCCTCCTGCGAGGAGACAAAATCAACAACACCACATACGAAGCGGCGGGTTAGTTCGAGGAGAGCCGCTGG